TGACTAGAAACAGCCAACATCACCTGACAAACCATAATGCTTTTGCTATAACAACTGCATCATAAACACACAGTGAAAACGACTGAGCTAATGTTTAAAAGTCAAGGGTCAGGAGCCCAACTAAAGCAAACACTGACCTCTGTTCATTCTCAGTCAGATCTTCTGTAGACGTCTGACAGAAATAAAGCCAGTCTGGTTAGTAAAGCGTGAAGCTGGTGAAGTTGATTGTTTAAATCTTCAGTTGATTTCATCTAAGGCTGTGGCTGAAGTCAGCGGTAGTTCTTGTGTTTGTCTTGTTTCTCTTTTCTTCAGTGATTGGGCTCGTTAACAGCAGCTGTTCATCAGTGTCTGAATTCATTAGTTCTCATTCTGTCTGTCAGGTGGACTGTTAGTAAACTCATGTAGGGAATAGTGAATGAAAGTCTTGTTTTATGAGAAATTGGTAAAAATGAAGTGAGTTTATGATTAAAGCAGGAACAAATATCTACAGAGGGATTCACTAATTCAAAGGCAAATCAGGGTTTCATTCCCCACTGGCAGACATTTGTTATTGTTTTAAGCATAAACGCACTTCGTTTGATCAATTTCTTAGAAAACAAGACTTCATATCTTCATTTTGCATCACCAGTAAATGTGTCTTGATTTAAGGATGTTTAGAAAACAAGACAGAAATACTGAGGAAGATGTTAATTTTTGCAGTGCATGCAACATTTAATGCCCCGACTTTATGAATTTAAGAGCTTTTTGGGCCTTAATTTGTAGACGGGTGAATGAAGAGTCTTTAAAGCTTGCAGAAATCCTGTTAGTAGTTTTGAAAAAAGTGTCTAATGGCACTGCAGAGGTTGTTGGGGACGTTAAACGTCATTAAACCGAACAGGTAAACTCATCTACTCACTCATTGTCTTTAAAATCAAACTGTTCTAACTCAAACTGTTTATAAATAAAGACTGTAAGAGTTGTCAAAGCTTTATGTTAGTGACATTAAAGTCATGTGTGGTTCGTTTATAGACTATGTTTAGCTCTGATTTAGGCTTCAAAATTCATGTTCATTTGTGATTATCATGATGAACCAAACATGTAAGAATCATAAACTTTTGTTGGTCACAGAGCTTATTTTCTGCAACGACCCAAAAGCCAATGGAAATATCTGCTGTGTTTTTGATAAAGGATCCAGAGTGATGTTAGCTTACGAAAATACACCATCACTGACCATCTTCCTTCATCTCAAAGCACACGAGCAGCTCCATCAGTCAAAGTCTTCTCCTCTCTCAGGTTCAGTGGCAGATTGCTCCAAGTCTCGTGTTCGGCAGTCTACACTTCTGCTCCTCTAAGCGTGTTCTTTGCATGTGCACAGAGGTAATTCAAAGGTGGGCAACGTCCCAAAAGCCCAGCAGCTCATATGTGGCGTGTCAGTGGCGTTTGGAGAGACGCAGAGCTAGCGGACCCTGAAGGTGCAAACGTCCTCGGCGTTCACAGCCAGCGCGGGACACTCAAGGAGACGAATGTAGGCTGCTCCTCAGCGGTCCTGACTCCTGACATCACTGCAGAGGAGACGCATGATGAACCGAACGGGAACAAACACATACATTCTTCTGATAAAACAGCAGAAAAGCAGTTGAGTTTGTGATATCAGTGTTTCTCGCCTCAGTTTCAAACATGAGAAGCGTCATTCTGAAAACTTCATTATCATTATCCAATACCAAATCATACCAGTGTCTTAACGAGATCTTTCACCCATAAATGATCATTCTGTCAGCATTTACTCGCCCTTATGCATTATTACAGTGAAAAAACTGAAAATATAAAAATAAAAGCGAATTCTGAATATTAACAAAAGCTATAATGATACTAAAATAAGACTAGGATAGGTAGAAGATGTGAATAAATAAAGATGAACTCTTCATCAGTGTTTGCTCACACGTATTCATCGTGTCAACACACTTTAACACACACACACACACACACACACACACACACACTGGTGTTTAAAGTACAAGTGAAATCGTCCTGAGTGTCATGAGGCAGGATGTACTGTATGTCCTCGTCCATGTGTCTCACCTGGCCGCGTCTGCTGATGTCCCGCAGTAAAGGGTCATTCTGTCGCCCGTCCGCCGTGGTGAGGAGACATCTGTTAGCATCACCAGCACCGGGCTGTGAGCCAATGAACCAGTGGCTGCCATGATGACCAGAACACGACCCTGGACACACACACACACGCACGCACGCACACACTCACACACACACACACACACACACAAATACACACACACACACACTCACACACACACTCTCTCTGACACACACGCACACACACACACACAAACTCACACAGCACGGTTTCCATAACATGTGATCGAGAGAATAAAATCACCACTTTCTGGGAAACTGGTGCAAGGAATCAAAAACAGTAATGAAAGCTGATGTAACCTGGAGCCCATGTGGCTCTTTTGTCCTATAATTAACGACGGTCGTCTCAGAGCGTGCAGATGAAGTGCAATAACAAGCGCTGTAGCGTTATAGCTTGTGTTAAGATGTCTGATGTTTGGGAATGCAAACTTGTGAGACAGTTATGGAGGTGATTATACCAAGTCATTTCAATGACGGACTTTGGCTCTAAATGATTAAAATCACATTTGAGATGGTGTGTGATGAGATCGGTGCGCTGGTTAGCCCAATCACATGATCTGATGAGGCAAAGTCACGTGACTTTTTAGATGCACATTTGAGTTTTTGTAGTTTACACAAAAAGATTTTAACAGTACTGTTTTCAAACACATGCACTTTGAAACCCGTTTTGAAAAGTGTGCATTTCCAGGCCCCCAGCGTGCTGATGTTGTGTACATGAACGGCCAAAATGCATGTAAAGTTTTCAGTTTTTAGTTGAAAACGGTGTTGTGTTGTGTCTGGGTTTTGCTTTGTTTTCATATCTGCTGAAGGTAATGACAGAAGTACTTTGACCAATAGCAAGCAGGCATTGCACATACTCCCCCAATAGAGGCGTGCAAGCAGGTGTGATCTCCAGAGAACAGTCAAAGCGATGCAGAGACACTGTATGTATGTAACAAAGCCAATGTGTTTGATTGCATACCGTGAAGCAATAACAGCGTGCATGTAACTGAATGTGGATTTCTGTTAAAGCATCTCTCACTGACTGAGTTCTGGCAGTGGCTCTGGAGGAGTCTTGCAAGCATTCTGTCCATTGAATCGTACAGATAATGGCCTGGTTGGCGGTGAGCAAATACTGCGCCATCTGTGTCTCAATCGAAGCGTGGGCACCAACACGCTCCGTCATACAAACTAATACACAACACGCTGCTTAATATAGAAGCTGCTGATGAAACGCCAGCGACGGCGGGCTGAAGAGGTCCGAATCAAACTCAGAGAGTGGAGTGAATGTGAGATGTAGACGCGGCCTGTTTCTCTGCAGGGTCTTGAGAAGGTCTTCACACGCTTGTGTCGAACTTCAGCTGTTTTCTGTGAGGAACAGACACTCATTTGAGTCCTTATTCAGTGAAACATTTAGCTGTAGAGTCTCATAAACTCAAACGCCACGTGAAGATGCGTCGCTGTCAGTACAGTCACCTGATAAGCAAAAGCACATTAAATGTAGAGAAATCAAGGGTCTCACTCTTATAGATGAATGTTTTCTATTGATTTAGAATTAGTTTCTTTAGATTCACTATCACTCAAAGGTTTGGAATAATTCAGATTTTACATGTTTCTGAAAGAATTCATCAAGGCTGCATTAATTTGATCACAAATACAGTAAAAACAGTAATATTGTGTATTATTATTACAAATTATTTTAAGATGTCATTTATTCCTGTCACATGATCTTCAGAAATCAGTATAATATGCTGATCTGCTGCTCAAGAAACATTTCTGATTATTAGCAATGTTGAAAACAGTAGTTTTGTGGAAACTGATGCATTTTACATTTCAGGATTCACAGATGAACAGAAAGTTCAAAAGAGCATTTATTTGAAATGGAAATCTTTTGTAACATTATAAATGTCTTTACTGTCACTTTTGATCAATTTAATGCGTCCTTGATAGATAAAAGTATTCCTTCACTTAAAAAAATGCTTACATTTTAGTAGTGCATCACAGTTTCCACAAAAATATGAAGCAGCACAACTGTTTTCAACACCGGAATAAAGTGCATCAAAAAAACGGTCCAGATAAGACTGGGTCTGACGGTGTTGGCAGCGATCCGAGACGTTCTGATGAATTATTGAAATGTGTTTAAGCGCTCCAGGACTCATTTGATGTCAGTGCTTTGAAAAACTGTTCCTAAATCCCGTCTGACTCTCCAGAAGAGAAAGAGAGCGCATGTTAACCAACCCGCCGCCAGAGAAGCTTGTGTTTGTGCTGAGCCTCAGACGGCAGCACAGGACAAGAGCCCAAATAACACCCACAAACGGTCCAGTTTCAGCTCGGACAGTCTGCTTGACGGTTTGATCTGTACAAACAACCAGCTAACGAGCTGCTGAATCTGCACTAATTAACACACACGCCCTCGTCTCTGACGGGACGCCCGGCTCTGCTTCACTCTGGAGTACAGAACCGTTTGTTGAGATACTAAAGCAAGAAAGTCCTTTAATTACAGTAGGCATGATGGCAAGCTCTGAGACGTGCCGCACTGCGAGCACTGGATCAGTGATTAATATGTTTCTGGCAACAATGATTTGATTGGATTTTTTGTCTTGTTTTCAAGTACAAGTATCTAAACATTATTAAATCAAGATACATTTACTTTAAAGGCAAGATAACATCAGACACCAAGTCTTGTTTTCTGAAAAATGTATCAAAAAGAAGTAAGAATGACAATAGAGCCATTCTTCAGATCAGTTCAGTTCAGTTCTCATCTGATAGTCTCAGTGCAGTTTAATCAATGATATTGCTGAATATTAATTGTGTGCAATTTATTGTTTTGGGCAAGCAGTGTAGATCAATCAAACACAATGACAAAAGAACACAAGATCTGAAGATTAGCATGTGCAAAAGCAGCAGCACACGTGTGATCTGAGGAATCATTCATGTCTGGAGCTCAAACCCAACTGTAGTTTAATGTTCGGGTTTGTTCTAGTTTTTGCTCAAAACTATTTTGCTGAATATCAACTACATCCAGGTAATTGTTCAAATTCTGCTCCATTTTCGAATACATCACATAAGATGCCGTGTCACGCTAGAATCAATGCTCAGTGTGAATCGGTTGAGTCTCAGCTAATCGTCAGTCTGTCGAACACACCGGTAACGAAGCAAAATAATGCATATTTGATGCATATGTGGCTCTCCAGCAAACACACAGGGGAAAACTTTCATTATGTTCCAGTGGTTCAGACCCGGAGCTCGTGTTACAAACCCAACCGCAGCTATTGGACATTTCTGACATCGAGGGTTGACTTAATGACCAGGAGACGGACATATAGGAAGACACAAAGCCGTGATGTGCGTTAATGAATAGCGCAGCGCTCCGGTTCTGCTGATGCCACGCGTCTCTCACGCGCCCGCCGGCTCTTATCAAGGCGAGATGCTGACAGATCCGTCCCTCCATCCCAAAAAACCCTCTGCCAGAGAAATCGCTGTGTCGCAGCACCTGCCTTTTTGTCTATTCACACTGTCCTCCTCCCTCAGCGCCGCACATCTCCAGCACAGACGAGCTGCTCAACTCGTGTGAAACTTCCCGAGACGATCTGCGGCACAATTACCAGCAGATACTGAAGACTGTCGCTTAGAGGTAAAAAGCAGTTGGAAATGAGCGGTTTACTGTTAGCAAGCATCCTGATGAATGTGTCAATATGTGCTGTGCGCTTTCCTCTCAACAACATGAGAGCGGTGAGAAAGCAGCAGCTAAGAAAGCATCAGCCATTTGGACGTCTGCTGTCACGTTTATTTATTAAAATCATTATATATATCCTTATTAAACATGATAAACAGTGTCAGTCAGAATTACACCTTCAGTGTGTACCGTAAGCAGCTCTCCGTTGTGATCGTGTTTGTACTTCTGACCTCTTGGGATGCGTCTTTTAGAAACGCCTCTTCATGATGCTTCGAAGCATTTCTTTCAAACCAGTGATTCAGAGTCACGTGATTTCAGTAAACAAGGCTTCATTAAGTAACTTTTTAAATGTTTTGAAATTCAAGGATTTGCATCGAGGCATGGAAACCATGAAAGAGTTTCTATATGGTGTTTATCTGATCTCGGATGAATTTCATAAATTGTAATTTTTCATGTCACAATTGTATAATTAAAAGGAAGAGTTGTAGTTATTAGTCTGGTATTGGCTTAATTAATCAAGCTCTCAATAAAACAAACACAACAAGCCCTTTCGAGAGCGTTAAAAAAAAGTGAATCTTTTAGCAAAGCAAATGATTCAGCTGATTCAAAGCTTCAAAAAAGTTCATGTTTTACTCGTGTCTGACCTCGACGGACTACGGAAGCTTGTTTCCACCACAAGAAAAAAACCACAAAACCAAAAATGCAAGTTTATATCCAGCAATTCTGAGCTTATGTCTCACAATTCTGTTTGTTTCTGCCACTTTTTTATTTTTTTTATTCCATGGCAGAAACATGCTTCCATAAAGAACTTAACTTAGATGAAAAGAACCGGAGAAGATTTCCACGTCAAGAAGGCGGAGCTCCAGAGCCACACCCACTTATTACATCATCGGCACAGACCAATGGTAGTTCGGGGGTGTTTACCAGCCAGAGCGGACTTGAAACGTTGGCAAGCTGAAAAAACTCAAAAATGACCTTGGTTTTTGATTGAAGTGACGTCTCACAAGTACATTCTTTGATTTCACTAGCAGTATATTGTAGCTGTTAATGTGTCAAGTTAACTTTCCATCGACTGCACTTCGTGTAAACCAAAAACTGGGGCCAAACCCATCCAAAAGGTAGTAATATGTACCTAATATGTCCGTTTCGAGGTAAATAAGGTACAAAGATGCAGCTTCCAGCTTTTGAACCGTTTGTGATCATGTTATTTGATATATCTGAAGGCTGCCGCTTTCACAAACGCACGACTGTTCAAAAGCAGGTCAGCTTACACTGCAAGACACCTTCTGAGTGTGAGCGCTGACGAGCCCTCAATAGACCACGGCCTTATCTGCAGCTCCAGCACAAGAGATGGAACGCTGCCCTCCAATGAAGCTCTCGTCCCGGATTACTCTAATCCAATAGTCCTTCTCCATGCCGCCCTCCTCTTCTCCGGCATCGCCGCCTTTCAAAAGGGAGCCATTCACATCCCTAACGAGATTACGAGAGCCGAGTGGAAACCAACATTTCCAGGGATTGCTGTTGGAGGTGGTTCTAACACCTGTCATTCGCATCGATCCGGCGCTCACTAAACCTCTGCGGGCCGAGAGTTGCTGACCGCCATCGATCGGACATTTGTATGCATGGGAACGTGCACGGGCTGTTCTTTTAGCGAGGGTAAAATTGGTTTTGGAGGTGCGTGGGCGTCGCTGTCATTAGGGGCCCGCTGCTGACTCTCCTGCCCACTCGCTGAGATCTCGTCCTGTGAAGAATGGCATAATCCTCCTGGGCCGAGTCAAAAACGGATGGATGGTGGGTGGATGGAGTAGTGAAATCTGTGGAGGAGGATTGATGCGCAGCAGAACTTTGGGCCATCAAAGCGGTTGGTAATGGGTGAAGGAGGAGCAGGAAAGCAGCGATGGGACGGAAATAGAAAACACGCATGTTAGCGTGAACAATCGTGAGCAACAACACAGAGACTGACTAGATATGCATAAAAGATGATATTCAGTAAGGTTATGGATTTACAGCGGTGGCCAAAGTGATCAGTACACTAGTATTCTCAGCAGCTAAAACTGGTTTTAAGTCAGTTATGTCAAATCTTCTGCTGGAGTGTGTCAGTGGGAAATATCAGTTTTTAGCCTTAAATGAATAAACTCCTACAGATCGTATTATTTGATGTATTTTGACTCACTGTGGTTAATTGAAAATGTTCATTTTACTCCTGTTGCTGTGAACAGGCCTTTAGTGTGCCGCCTGGAAAACACAGCATTAAACACGGCAAAGACGTCTATAAATACATGCAGCTCTTCACCGACGGCCAGTTACCTGAGATTCCCAGAGAGCAGCTGCCGTCATCTGGACGTGTCTTCAGCCCCAATCACTTCACACCGGTCTTCTTTCACCTTCATCCTTTCATCCTTTCATCTTCCTCGCGCTCTTTGAAGAACGAACCTCTTGCTTTCATGAGCAACTCGAAAAAAAACCATAAACATGCAAACCATCAGACCGGCTTTCATGTGTTTGCCGTTGCTCCATCTCCACTTCACAATATATAAATATCAATAATATGTTAAACATTACAAATATACAATATAAAACAAATACATATACTGAAATGTATGTAACTGAATGTAAGTGTGATCATGTGTTTAAGAAAAACATTTCATTTGCACTTATTATAAAAGTACTCTGAATCGGGCCTTACAGAAATAAAACCCGGAGCAATATCGAAGGCTTGATGTCCTCTTCCCGAATCAAGGCCGTGGCTCTGATGCATATCTGAAGCAGGATAACGCTGGCTATCAGAGCCGAGATACGACTCACGGGTAATGACCCTCTCAACATGCTCTCGACACGTATCTGCAGACAGTTACACTCCAATAACAAGTGTGAGACGCTCTTCAATATTCAGCTGTTTGCAGAAGCGTGCTCATCTGCAGCTGTAGAGCCCAAGAAAGGAGGAAAGACGGAGAAATCACACACTGGTAGCTTTTCCAAGCCGCCGGAGTGAAGAACTCAAAAGAAGCGCTCCTGAAAGAGGCGTAGAGCTGCTCCATCACACACTTTCACTGCCACTGTGTGTCGTCTGAAGCAGGTTGGAGAGCCACAGAGACGATCCAAACGTAAAATAACATTATTATTATGTTATCAGATTCCAAAAATTGGTGACACTTTATTTTAAGCTGTCCTCGTTACAGTGTAATTATAGTACTGAGTAATATTAATTAACTACATGCACTTACTATATGGTTAGGGTTACCTGCATATCATTTATTGTTATTATAATAGTAAGTACATGTAACAAGGACACCTTAAAATAAAGTGTTACATTAAGTACTTCAATTACATTTGAAAAT